GTTCGTCACGAGCCACTTCTACCTGGACGACTTCGTGCAGTCCAGCGAGAACCACGCCCCTGCAGGCAATTCCCGAGGACGGCTTCCGCACTCCCGCCAAGGCCACGGATGAGGACGTGCTACGGCGGAACCCGCTTCGTCGACCTGGCAGGTGAGAAACAGTTGTAACCCCACTTCAGCGCATATGAGATGTGCGTGAGACTACATGTCACGACACATGAATGTGTGCAGTTGACGTCTGTACTGGAGGCCTTTTGTGGCACGAGCGCGGACGAGCTCTAGGGTTGAAACCTGTGTTTGGTGAGTTTCCCCTTTAGCTTGTTTTGTTTCTCATGGTAGCGGAGCGCTGAAGACCAGCGCCTAGGTGAGCCATGGCCGAGCATCAAGCTCAGATGGATCTCCTTACAAGGTTGCGCGCAGCCACTGAGGCAGCTGCCGCAGCAGCACAGGCGGCGGTTCAGGTGAGTCAGGCAACAGCTTCTTCACCTACAAGCGCGCAGACGCGCCAAGATGATCGGCAGTGGCACAAATTGGTCAGCCCGAGCGTGTTCGAGCCCAAGTCTTGGGAGGAGGAAACCGGAATGTGGAAGGATTGGTTTTGGATCAGTGGAGCAATTTTTGGCAACGGTTGACGTGGCATTTCACAGGGTTCTTTGTGGTTTGAGGCTAGGAGCAGTGCGCGGGACCTTTAACGCTAAGGGTTTTCTTTTCCCTTGTGTTTATGGGTCGGGGGTGAATCTCCTACGCCGCTGCCATTTGGTGCTCCTAGCCCTCAAACTCATGTTTAGGGCTCGCAGTCCTGGTTTCGTTTTGAAACCCACCCACCCGACCCTTCTTCCGGACAGCCCTCCCCGCTGGGAGCCCTCCGGACATGAACTGGGAGCGCGCTCTCAGCTTCATACCAGGGCCCAGACCCGCGGTCTGGCCCTGTGACCCGTAAAAAGGTGTGCGCCTTTTGGGTTCAGGGTTCTTTGTGGTTTGAGGCTAGGAGCAGTGCGCGGGACCTTTAACCTACATGTACAGGTGACTGCGTGCAACGGTGTCCAAATTAGGAACTACCTTTTAGGAACCCTATGTGTTGGCACTTTGAATGAAGTTGTGTTTGAGTCAGGTCGGGCTAAGGTTACTTAGGCTTGAAAAGCCTTGTACCCTTTTGATTAAGGCCTGATTGTGAGCTGCTGTGCGAACCTCAAACACTTGATACCTGTGCCGTTTTGGCTTGAGGGTGGGTGGTGGGAATGAGACTGCGACATGAGCTCGCAGGATTTTAACCCGCCCGCCCGCCCGTGTCAAAGGGTGGTGTGCCAAAGGCATACAACCTTGAGCATCTCCCCGAGATTGGAAGAAAGATGACTTATTTCACCTTGAGCTGACCGCACGGTTGATAACCACTCAGCAGAGACAATTTGTCAAGACTCAAACGCAGTCACCTACATGTACAGGTGACTGCATGCAACGGGTGTCCAAATTAGGAACTACCTCTTAGGAACCCTATGTGTTGGCACTTTGAATGAAGTTGTGTTTGGGTCAGGTCGGGCTAAAAAGGACACTATCTGTCACTTTTTTGTTTGGAGCTGTGCTTGAGCAACGCAGTGGCGCGGGTCAATGTGAGGTGAGGATCAAGTGCGCTAGCCAAGCAGTTCAAGGTGCTTCAAAGCAGAGCAGCCAACAAGTGTCCACTGTCGCAGGTTTATGTCCCTCAGAAGATAGGTTGCAAAAGCTTACACACACCTTCGTTTCGCAGCTGAACTTGCCAGCTTTGCGTTTCGCGTCGCTGCGCTGTTGCGACATGAGCGCTGTTCTGAAAACAGTAGAAAAAAGTGGCCTGACGGCAAGAAAAGCCTTGCGAACAAGTTCCAAACAACAAGGAAAATGATGCAGAAGTTTTTGCGTGCCAGGCGCAGTGGAAACATGCAGCGGAAGTGGTTTTGCGTGACAGGCGCAATGACACTAGCGAATCGTAACGTTGAACTTCAACGTTATGATTCAACATCGTGGCCCGCGCGCAAAAAAAGTGCAAATCGTTGACTCGTGAAAATAAGAGGTCTAAGAAAGTTCTTTTTGATACTGTTCCAACGTTATGATTTCTGTTTTTGTGTGGGGAGGGTGCGCGTTTTGCGTCGTAACGTTGGTTTTGGTGAACCCTCTGCGGGGTTTGTGCTCGGCAGTACAGCCCCCACGTTGCCCTGCGTGGTGAGCCCGTCAGAATGGCCGAGCCCGTGAGGGCCAGCGAGTCGCCAGCAGGTCCGTCGCGAGAGCGACTCATCGTGCCCGGCCCTCGTTCCTTCTGTTCGTTTCACTTGCCCCCCTCTTTCTTCATACAGAGCTTGTCTTTTGCGCCCAACAATTTAGGGCATTCTGAGACTCCTGTTCCAAGGGCTTTTGAAGGACAGTGTCTCCCTGTCTGATTAGAGGACAACTCCCCGTGCTGTCAGCGTGAGAAAAAGGAGCTTCGAGCGATAGCATTGATATGCAACACTTTCCACGTTGCCCGAGATGTCCTTAACCTGGCCGTCAGGGCGTCAAGAGGGGGAGTGATCCTATGAGTGGCCGTGACACAGAGAAGTCCCGTCTGCAAAAGTGACGCCAGAGTTGTCGACGCAGGACGGACTTGACCAGGTTTGAATGAACCTCTAAAAGTGACATACCTCGATGTTTTTCTTGGAAACACGAGGTTTTCAGGTTGAGTCATTTGCAGGAAGGAGGGCTACGCCTAAGCCTGAGCTTTGCCTGGAACCTGCTGCACCCTGATGCCGGAGGGACGCTGCTGCTCCTTCGGCTGCCGGTGCCGGCTGGGCACGGCCTCCAACTTGGTGATGTACGTCAGCGCGGCCGACAACGACTACGCGGGCGTCACCGGCACCTTCCTCGGCGCGGCCGCGCAGGGAGTAGCACGGCGCGCCTGGACTTCACGGTGCCGCGGGGAGTCGCAAAGCTGCACTTTGGCGGGTCGATCCCGGGGGCTGGCGCAGCAGTCGGGCGCTGGACCTGTACAGTCTAGCAGATCAAAGCCACTGCCTTTCTCCCGGGTTCCCCTTTTCATTGCTTGTCCCCTCTTGCTTGAAGCAGTGAACAGGATTCGGAACGTAGTCGGGCCAATTGTCCTCTACAGTAGGTATTTTTTGTGTGGGGTTGGTTGTACTTGTTCGAACAGCAGTTCAACATGTCCGTGCGTCTCGGTAATTTGCAGTGACTGCTTCCGTATCATTGGTAGCAAGAGTTGATTGTGAATGGCAAGTGTGCCCCAATCTTTTGTGTTGATGTACTACTTCAACTCCGATGATTCTATCACACGGGGGTCCTTTACGTGTCGGTGTAAAAACTAGGTCAACTTCAAGCAATCATTGGACTTGGCTTGGCTGCGTTTGCCATGGCAAAGCAAATGGGAACATGCAACGAACATTGTGGATCGCGCCCATGTTGCAGTGAACAGTGTGGGTGTGTGGCGGCGTGGACGGAGAAGAAGGTGAACGTGTGTCAAAACAAAGCACCTTTTTTGGTTTGTTGCCTCAGAATCTGAGAGACTGCATGCACTAAGCCAATCTGTCGCTTTAACAGACCGTTGCATTAAAATTCAGCCCCATGCTGCAACTGCTCAAGCTCAAAGTCTCATTGATATACGGGACTTTGTCGCGCGTGTGCCTCCCAGCGCTTGCCTAAATTCACGATGCATTGGTTTGCATGTCACCCTGGTTTGACTCAGAGTGTTCATTTTTTTCGTTGTCTATTTCCTTGTCTGCTTGCTTGTTTGCGCAAACGTTGGCATAGTTGTGACTACGTGCGAACATGAGGCTTGGCAATTATGGGGCCGGTAACTCAGTATGGACCTGAACATCATTGAGCGCCTCTGTATGCTTAGAGCACGGGGCCAGCCCCTTCCTGATGAATGAACGCAGTGCGTTGAGATACAGGAGTATTGTGAAGCTCGCATGTATGCTCAAGTGTTTTCTGAACCGAAAGGCGGTTCTTTGAAGGAAACAGATTGCAACAAGTCGTTTGTGGGGCTTCTCAATCTCGCGAAAAGCGGAAAAACAAGTCCTGAATCATGACTTGCGGGATCTGCCAAGCCATCTAGCAGAGCTCTTAACACATCACTCTGATGTGTAGAGTGACACTTGCTCTTAGGACTACAGAGGATTTCGCGGTTGTGAGAAGCATCATCGAGGACCTCGTAGCCACCTCTTGTGGCTGAGGGAAGATGTTTTTGTGCTGAGGGAACTCCGCCAACAGCGCAAAGAAGGGCATGTGTCTTTGAATTTCAGGGGTGGAAAGCTACTTTAAAGATGGCTGCCGATAGCAGAAGTCCTCATACATCTCTGATGTTTAACAGATGGTCCAAACAATTTAGAATTCATAAACGTGCCCTGGTGTTAGGCATGGTGCAATTGCACTGAGAGCTGATGACTTGGATTCTCCCATGGGTCAACAGATATGACTGCAAATCCTGAGAGAAACAGTCACTTTCAAGACATATTGTTTGGTCTGTTATATATATATAGGAAGGTAGGCCCTGGGGGGGCTGACCATATATATCTATATTTGTTCGGGCAGGCGGGGGCTTCTGTACAAAACAACCAGGTGAATTGTCTGATTCGCCCGAACAATCGCATCATGTGTGAATGTTTTGCTACCATGTCTTTGCATGGTTCTCTTGGGGGGGGGCTCCACAATGCACAGATTTGTTTGCCGCATTTGACAAGTGGCTTTTGCAAGCACGGCGCCAGAACTGGTGCGATCTGGTGATACAACGTCGCCCGCTCCGCCGGTGCTTCATTCCAGGTTGGACTTACTTATTTGTTAACTTTACTGCAAGAAAACCTTGCAGTCACTGCAGTCACCGTGCTTTTGTGTTGTTGTTTGCTAATCGTTGCAGTCAAGAGTGGCATTCTTGCAAGGCAGGCAAGCCGAGCCGTTCTCGCTGCCAAGCAGTCGAGAGGGAGCAACAGATGTTCTTGAATGTTTGGACCGCATGGCGTTATCAATAAGCCAAGCTGCTTGCTCAGCACTTCCTGAGCTGCCATGGTCACTGCTGCCGTGGAGCACGTCCTGGTGAGGTTTCTGCAGCCATATGCCGCCTGCCTCGACATGAGCATCGGATTGCTTAGACAGACAACCTCAATGAACGGGACGGTAGGTGAATGCCTTGGCTGCAAGTACATCCAGACAGTCTGCCAAGCGTTTGATTTGCTGCCGTAGCTGAAGCCAGTGGAATTTGTTCGAGGGAAGTGGCGTTATCATGCACCACTATGTTCTTACATGTGTTGATCAAGGAACCATATGTTCTTGTTTCAAGAGTTGATTTGCGTGAAGCTTGTTGCTTGCAGCACAGGTGGATGGCATTGACAGCAATGACTTGCGGCTCTCCCTCTGGAGCGGAAAGCTGGAGCTGAAAGATGTCAAGGACTGTGCTGGAATGCTTGCAATTGCTGGGGAGTGCAAGGCAGTCCATGGCAACACTGCGCGGCAGGTCAAGGAGGATGTGCTGGGCCTCCTAGGTGTGGAAGGCGGGAGACATGTTGCATACGGTAAACTGTTTTTTTGTAAGACGCTGTTTAACGGCAGAGATATTGCATGAGAGCAATCGGGACAAATTATGCACAGCGCAATGGTTAATCACAAAGTGACTGAGAAATGACTGAGCGCAGAACAGCACAGACAGGAATGCAAAATGGGCGTAATATCATGTTTGCGGCAAGTCTTAGCAACATCTCCAAGGAAGCAGCTGCAGGTTGGCAGAGTTTCATGCCAGGGTATGGTATTTAAGAACGACCGGAGGTTGACATCGCACCCATAAACGGAAGTCTGTCCAAAGATGACACAAATCGCCAATCTATTTGCGCAGTTCCCTCTTTTGCCTCAGGTGTGCGCGTGCCCAATGGCCGTGTCCGGCGAATCTGCATCACGCTTCCCAGCAAGACCCGGCTTCTGTCGGGTCAGCTGCTCGGGGACCTGCCAAGGGTGCAGACTTGTCCTTCGATTCTGGGAGGACTAGACCCGTTTGGAGGGACCAAACTTCTTGTAGCACAAAGTATGAACTTCTTCACAGTGCCACTTGTAACCTGGTTGGAAGAGTCGGCAGTGATGCATGACAGGCAAGTCCTTGGGAATGGTATACAGCAGTTTGATTCCAATCTTTGAACTGACTTCAGTAGTGATTCAACGAGTAATTGCTTCCTGTAGTTCCTCAATTGCAGCATTTAATGGAGGGGTTCGTTATTAATCCTCATTCTCAAGGAACAACTCCTTGAGGTGGAAACAAGAAGCGCGAGTTGTGGCTGTGCTTACCGTGGTCGAACAGTGAGTGAAAGTCATTTTGATGAAACCGCAGTCGTTTTCAAGGCATTGAGCCAACCAAAGTATGAAGGTTCGTAAATACCAGGCATCGTGATGTGTCCTGGGTACAAAACAAGGTCATTGTTGAGCCCATTTGCAACCTTCCTGGATTATTTTTCATCAGTTGCATCCGTCGAGCTGCAAGGGAAGATCAGCGTGGAAGTGGAGGGCGTCCAGATTCAGGCGGAGCACATCAGTGAAAGCCTCGATGATGAAGCGCTGAGGAGGGACAGTGTGTACGGGTCGTAGGCAATGTTGCAGCATGAAGTCAGAGTTGTTTCGCAACTTCCCTAGCTCCAACTGTTGAAGGGCGAGTCAACCTGGTGGCAATACTTGAGCATTCGTTTGCATCAAGCAGCGGGTGCAGCGTATCTTTGTAGCGCTGGTTCCTTTTGGCTTCGTTGCGTAGCTTGCTTGTTTCATCGGATTCAGTCAGATCTCATTGCATCCGGCTCGGGCGTTAGCGGCAGGAATGTGCGGCGCACCAAGCAGCAGGCAGTAGAGCTGCGCATGACCCAGCTACGAGCAGCTGGGATGCAGTTGGAGCCAGGGGGCCTTTGTGTCTCTTCTGGGCGAGTGAAACATGAGCTTGTTTGGTTGGTTTGAAAGCGAAAGCAAAAGGGAAAGCCATGTTTAAAGGGACCGCTGTTCAGCTCAACGGCACAAATGGTTATGGTTGGCAGCGGTTTGGCCTGTAGAGATACCCCCCTACCCATCAACAGAACACTCCAATTTCTCCCATTTATCACGAAAGCTAGCTTTAGCTAGCTGAAGTTTCTCCTTGCGTAAGCAAGGTAAGGGGCTCAACTGCCGAAAGATTGATTTTTTCAATTATTTGAGCGTCTCAGGCTCGATTCCTCCCTGGTCCATCCCCCCCCCCCCGGGCAGTGGCTCAGTGTTCAGCAGTCTCGGTTTGCCCGTTTTGGACTTGGTGCTACGAACTTTTACATGTTCCACCGATTCAGCTTGTTCATTTGAGACCTCAGTCTTCTCGGTAAACCACCTCGCAAGAATCTTTGCACACGCAGCATGCAGAACCCAGAGGTGCTTTCAGACAGCTTCTGACGCCTCTCGTTGTTTTCATTTTTCAAGGTTTGCCACGCCACCATGTGCGTTTGCGTGTCGCATCCTACGAATCTTGCCGGGCCTCTCGTTGTACACAAGCTACCTATGAATCCACTCTGTCACCGACCCATCTCATGCAACAACTGCTAGCTTTCGTTCACCCGCTCCTCAAGTCAATCCAAACTACCAAGCAAAATAACGAAAGGTCACCTGATAGACAGCGCGTTTTTCGTGCACTGATACTTGGTCGATGGATACTGCGTATGTTGTCAAGCAGTACCTTTGCGGCCTTAAAGAAAGACATTTGCCCGTTTGGGACTATTTGGTCGCCTTTGATTTCAGCTTTGTGTCGCCGTCATGTGCCTTTAAAGTGAATCGCGACTTGGATGGCCATAGATTCATTCGGGGGAAGTGCTCCTGTGCTTCAGGACATGTACAAGCGGAAGGAGCAGGCGCAGGACGGGATAGCTTTGTTTTGACAAATTACACGGGATTGTCTCGGAATGAAAGACTCCTGGCTCTGACGGAGTTTTGACATCGACCAGAATGTCTCCCATTGCTCAGTGCGAGCCACGATAGGCACCGCTTTCTGCAGTGCTGATCAACTCACCACGCCACGCCTTTGCTTCTGCCATGTTCAGCTTCAGGAAGCCTACGAACAAGCCGAACCAGGCTTTGGTATGAGGAGCGAGCAGTGCAGCTTTTGGAGTCAGCATGTCGTAACAATGAGCAATTCAGTTGTTGACTCGCTGCCACATCTTGTTTAACGTGTCTGAACGTGCACGAAATGTAAAGCTTGGTTGATGACATACACATCTGCAGTAGCTTTGCTTTGCGAGGTTCGCCCGTCGACTGATCAACAACTTAAGATTCTCGGCAGCAAGCTAGACAGTGCAAGGCAAGGCCAAGAGTTGAGGCGCAGCATTTTCAGGAACCTAAGATACCTAAGACTGGAGGGGTCGAACATGCCCTTTGAGAGAAATCAAGGCTCTTTGGAGTGTGGATCCTTAGTGTTAACCGAGAAGTTTGGGCCCTCACCATTCGACACGCTCCCCAAATTGATTGTCAACTCCCAAAATAGACACGCCCATGAAACCGCCCATTCTTTACAAAACCTGCCAAAGCTTCCCCCAAAAAAGAACAGATCTACTCCAGTTATTCCCCGAAAGATGGCAGAAGGTTGTGTTTGTTTTTTGCAAACCTTCTTCGGAAAGAGTGTTTGACGGGAAGTCAAACTAATGTCCATCAATGTTGAGACAAAACAACGAATCGTAGTTCACTTCCCAAAGTTGCTTTTGGCTGAGAAGACCATCCAAGGTGTTTCAAGGCTTGTTCAAGGGAAGCTCAAAGCAAATGAGCTGATGAAATGAATGTCTACCAACAGCGCACAATGGCAAGGAATAGTACACTCAATTTGAATTAACAGATAACGTCGTTGAAATTGGCTTTCAAAGTTGAAAGGACGTACTTGCGGCTTAGGCTTGAAGCTGTCCTCGGTGTCGGCAGCCTTCAGCAGCCGCGACCCCGCAGTAGCCGCCAGCGCCGCCATGGACTCTCTGGAGGTCCAGTCCTGTGACGTCTTCTTCCGGACCCGGGCGATCGTTTGGTTTTGATGGAGCTTCGAGTTTGCAGGGATTGAACTTGATAGGGATTGTAGTCGTCACGAGGCGCTGGGAGGTTTCGTTCTTTTCGTAGCAAGAACTTGGGAGGGTCCGGGGTGCAAAGGGAGGGGAGAAACGGTTACTAGTGCGCGTGGACGCCAGCTTGCAGAAGTATCGCTTTTGGTGACTGACTTGATGCAAGCAACACCAAGCTTCCGAGCTGCACGACCAGGACCGAGCTCCATCTGCACTTCTCTATGAGTGCACCAATCCCCTTTTTGCCACACGCCACACTGAAGCACAGAGAACAGCGTGGGCAGAATCTAACGCGCAAACCTTTTTTTTCCAATTTCCTAACTGGCGGCGGCGCTCCCGCCACCCGCAGCACAATGACATGCGCAAGCAGCCATGCCACATCAACTACGTTAAGCATTGTGATAAATGATGGTATGCAACAGGTTTCTGCGCCTGTACAACTCATTTGCACTTTGTATTCTGTAATCTGCCACAACACATGTGTGTCCTCCGTTTCCTGCCTCCACGTTCCGCATTTTGCAACATCAGCACTGCAAAGATTCGCGCAAGGATGGGCCCCGCCGTGTTTTGAAGGAAGGCGGCAAGGCGGCACGATGCTTGGACAGGGACTGCCTTTAAAGCTTGTGTGCCACAAACCGCAAACCGCTCCCAGGTTTCTGACAGTTTGCAGCAGCGCTGCTCAAAATGGGCTTGGCGAAGAAGCTTGAAAAACGCAACGCCAACAAAGGTTTGCAAGCTCTACGACAGCTCTTCAACGCTACTGCCAGAAGTAGGCTTTGACCATGTGGTCGGCAGCAAGAAAAGAGAGACTCGAATCCAGCTGCATTTCTGAGAGTCAGTGTCCCCAGCCAAGTAGGTTTTTGCGTTGCCAAATCTAGAGGTTGCACTGTTGAACTGCAAATTCAGCGCAGAGAAAGGGAAGGCGCCTTCACACCCGTGCTCGTTGTTTATGTTTTTGGGCTCCCAATGACAACGCACTTGCACAAAGCAAAGGGTGCATACATGTCCATATCAACTGCGGTTTAAGTTATTTTCGTTTTTGTTTCTCTTTTTTTTTGGTTTTTTCTCCGCCTTGCGCATTGGTAGGAATTCCCACGGGCGACTGCGTATTGGGGACTTTTTTTTCTTGACAGTTTTTGGCGTCGTTTCTGGGATTCTGGGGGTGGGGCGGCGTGGCGGACAGGTTTTACTGTTGGCAGCTGGCGGCGGTGGACGCTTTTTCACGGAAGTCGTTGTTTTTTGCACAGAACCCGAACAAAGGCTACTAAAAATATATAACAATTGCCTAAAGAGACTGGTTTCAATATGACCCCAAAGTGCCCACCACACGAGGGCGAGGCCCCTCCAAACGGCAACTTTCGTTTTGCTGGAATCAAACAAAGATAACCAACCATTCGGGCAGGGGAGCGATGTTGACGCAGAGACGTGTACAAGGTTCATTAGACCTAACTTGGGCATTAGTTGGTTAAAATTTGG